CCAGATCCAACCTCTGTTTACATTACATCAAATAAACCTGTTAAACTTTTCCCCGTGTTCTCTGAGTGGTTTCTCTGCATGTGGGTCAGATTCCTTAAATCGATCATGACACATGGTACAGTACCGTATGGTATGATATGGTATGGTACGGTATGGTATGGTATGGTATGGTATGGTATGGTATGGTATGGTATGGTATGGTATGGTATGGTATGGTATGGTATGGTATGGTATGGTACAGTATGGTATAGTATGGTACAGTTCAGTACACTTTGGTAAGGTTTGGTTCGGTACAATATGGTAAACTATGGTACGGTATGTTATGGTACGTACGGTAAAATACGGAATGCTATTGTATGCTATGCTATTCAAATACTAGGTTGTAGGGAAGAATATGCAATGTGGATTGTATATGTTTGTTTTAATTGTTCCTTGCTCAAATGTAAAAATATATAACTCTTAAAACTATTTTTGTGTCTTCTGCAGAGAGCATATAATGGAACTGGAAGCAAGTGATCCACTGCATAACTTCATATGCATGATGTTATATGAAGTATTTGTGTGCATTGTTTCAAAAGGTACACATATTGCTTTGCAAATGTCAACGATGATTTGAGAAATGTTCCAAAGCAGCGAGAAAAATGACATAAGATGTATGACAGTTTAATGTACAAATTTTGACCAATAAAGCACATCTCATTCAGGCTCACATTTGAACATTATATGCCTTATAGACATGGCAACAGCTAAAAAGTTTGTTTGCTTTCAGTGAGATCTTTCCTGTTGGATATACACTGCCTGGCCAAAAAAAAAGTCGCCACCTGGATTCAACTAAGCAAATAGGTACGAGCCTCCTATTGGATAATTACTGCATGGGCGATTATCTTTCAGCTGGCAACAAGTTATTCAACCCCAACTGGTGCAATGACTTGCTTCTCATTTCCTAAATGACCATGTCGAAAGACACATCCCGTGGTCGTGGAAATATGTTAGTCTGTTTGAGAAGGATCAAATCATTTGCATGCATCAAGCAGAGAAAACATCTAAAGAGATTGCAGAAACTACTAAAATTGGGTTAAAAACTGTCCAACACATTATTAAAAACTGGAAGGATAATGGGGACCCATCATCTTCAAGGAAGATATGTGGCCAGAAAAAAATCCTGAATGATCGTGATCCGCGATCACTTAAATGTGTGGTGAGATCAAATCGAAGAAAAACAACAGTAGAACTCAGGGCTATGTTTAATGCTGAAAGTAAGAGCATTTCCACATGCACAATGCGAAGGGAACTCAAGGGACTGGGACTGAACAGCTGTGTAGGCGTAAGAAAACCACTAATCAGTGAGGCTAACCGGAAAAAAAGGCTTAAATTTGCTAGGGAGCATAAAGATTGGACTGTGGAGCAATGGAAGAAGGTCATGTGTTCTGATGAGTCCAGATTTACCCTGTTCCAGAGTGATGGGCGAATCAGGGTGAGAAGAGAGGCAGGTGAAGTGATGCACCCACCATGCCTAGTGCCTACTGTACAAGCCTGTCGGGGCGGTGTTATGATCTGGGGTTGCTGCAGTTGGTCAGGTCTAGGTTCAGCAACAGTATGTGCTCAAAGAATGAGGTCAACTGACCATCTGAATACTGAATGACCAAGTTATTCCATCAATGGACTTTTTCTTCCCTGATGGCACAGGCATATTCCAAGATGGCAATGCCAGGATTCATTGGGCTCAAATTGTGAAAGACTGGTTCAGGGAGCATGACACATCATTTTCACACATGGATTGGCCACCACGGTCCAGACCTCAACCCCATTGAGAATCTTTGGGATGAGCTAGAGAGGGCTTTGCGCAGCGGTCACACTCTACCATCATCAATGCAAGATCTTGGTGAAAAATTAATGCCACACTGGATGGAAATAAATCTTTTGACATTGCCACAGCGAATGCGTGCCGTAATCAAAGCTAAAGGCGGTCCAACAAAGTATTAGAGTGAGTGACCTTTTTTTTTTGGTGGCAACTTTTTTGGCCAGTCAGTGTATAATCGGTAGTGAGGACCGAGCTATACTCATGGCTTTTCAATAAAAAAAATTATTTGGACCTAAATGACTTTCTGCTCTTACCCACCTTATTCAATGGCAATGACAAAACACAATCAATTGTCCATTGTATCTATAATACAGTAGCTGTATAATAGACAATGTTTATCTAGAATAAGTGAACTGTGCAATTCAATGGCTCAATGCAAACTGCTGGGTTTCCTTAGAAAATAAAACCCTTTGCCACCATGCCCCTGTTGTAGAAAATATGGTTGTCTTTGTATGCTCAACCATGAGGTTTACCCCTGGTTTAAAGAAAATGAAGTCAGTTGATCAACTGCTTCAGAAAGTGCTTCTTATCCCTTTGTTTGCCGATCCACAAGCTGTCAGGGGGACCAGAAAATGTATCCAAAGTCCGTCGAAGAATCTTCATCTCTATTTTTTAAATCAATAATTTCAGATAACCCTTGTAACTCTAACCCTAACAAGCATTTCAGTAAAGGAGTGGGATCCTTTCGCCTTGTGTTCAATCCCAGAGGTCTGTGAAAAAAAGTGGTTGAGGCCACTTTCATTGCCCAGGAACCATCTACATGTGCTTTTGACCCTTTCACATCAGTCCTGGTCCTACATCACCTCCATTAGTGTTCTCAAGAGCTCCATGGTGAATCAGTCCCTACAATCTGCCGCTATTTTATCTATTTCTTCACTTCTCATTCTTCTCTATGTGTCTCTATGTGTACATAGCTTTTAAAACCGCATCTTTCCCTGGGGCCTACACTGCCCCGTAGGGCCTACTGGCACTCCCCAGAATTGGTTTCAATCATACATGCTAGGTCACTGAGCCTATTTGGTGATGTGCCCTAGTGATCTGTTCCGGGACTCAAAGTTAATTTGTCATGCTGACAATACTCAGCTATCTGAGGCCCCCAGCCACCCATCTCCATCATCAACCTGTCCCACTGTCTTCACTATCCACAGTCACAGCATACCAGAAGGATAGAAGGGGAAAGATGTAGGAAAACATTCTCCTTTTTAATGAGTAGAAACATGAGTAATTCATTTTTTCATTTAATATCAAATCCAAAGACAAAAAAACATTATAAGTATTAAGGCAGAATACTTTTCTTTGCAGGGCAGCCACTAATCTTGTTGGGCTTTGTGATCCACAACTCACCTTCAGAAACCCAAACAAGCAAAAGTGTAAAATAAAATGTTCTAACTCCAAATAATTACAAAACTCCAGCAAACACTTTCCCTATCTGAAAAGCTTGTCCATGCCTTTGTCTCCTTCAGAATGGTCTATTGCAATACATTTCTCATTGGAATCGCTGACAGGAACATGACTCTTTCTTTAAAATTTTGATAAGATGTAGATTTAATAATTTTATTATTATTATCAATATAAAATTAAAGACTTCATTATAATTCTTTTTCTGTGTTTTTCCTGTGTCTCATTAATGTAATGTCTGTTTAATTTTGGCCCTTTTTCTATCTTCCTAGTTATGTATCTCTTTGGCATTATCCCTCCTTAAGTATGCATGTTTTTTTTTCTTCTTTTCTCTTCTAGTTCTTGTACAATTTGTAAAGACTATAAATTTATTATTATCATCTTAGAATACCAGACAACAAGTTGATCATCCCTTAAACAGAAGTTCAAACTGCCTTTATTACTCAATCTTTATTAATTAAGTAGAAAACCGTCCAGACAACACCAGGCTGTCTTATTTGTAATGTAATGCAATAGAAATTTCAGTCTGCATTTTTCCCTCTATCTGTAGTTGATGTTATGTACAGATGTAATCCATCTATCTTCAAATATCCTCCTTATTAAGGAAAGCTGAATTGCTTTTAAGCACTCTGCTTTCTTACTCTGCCTTTCCTAAAAGCCTAAAAGGCTATGGCAAGCTGTTTTATATTATATCTCTTAAAGCAATCTTCAAAGCATGTAATCGTCAATCTACTTTTTTAGGTCAAAGCAAAAAATTTTGCTTCCATTTGTTCTGTCTAAATTAAACATTTAGGATAACTGAACTTTAGCCATTTGAAACCAAAAAGCTTTGAGTAGGTTGTAAACCATGTTTCCTTAAGGCTTTATTTATGCTGCAATTTTATTGTTGCTCTAATTTAAATATGCTGGTCTCATCAGTAGTGGGTGGAAATTTGTAATGAACGAAAATTAAGTTTCAAAAACACATTAGTCTATTAGCAATTAATCAACATAAGGAGAATCAAAAGTGAATAATTTACAAAAATAAACATTTCAAACATATATCTTAATTATTCTTATTACTTATTTTTTGTGCAGTATATATAATGCACAAATAATAATGGGAACACGTAAAAAAACACTAGAACTTCTGTGAAAGCAAACTGTCTACTTAGGAAACAGCACTGATTGAAAATCAATTTCACATGCTGTCGTGCAAATGGAAAAGACAACAGGTGGAAATTGATGGCAATTAGCAAGACATGCTTAATGAATGGGGTTCTGCAGGTGAGGACCACAGACCTCTTCGCAGTACCTATACTCTGGATCTGTCCTCCGTTGGTCCGAAGAGTATTGTCTCAGTTTTGTTTTTATTTAATTGGAGAAAATTATGGTGTATCCACGTTGCATCCACCTCATATATGGACTGTTGCCATTTGTGGAATAGTAAAAACTAGAACCTTTAAGGATGAACTTTTATTTATTCATTTTTTTCAATTAAAGTTCTTTGGGTGAATGTAGTGTGTTGTTTGATTAAATACTATAATGTTCTGCCTTACTTGGGTCTGGTCCTCCTCTGCAGGCCTACCGCTCTCTGCAGCAGAGAGGGGTTTCGTGACGTCACTGGCGGCTCCAGCGGCTCGTTGATTGGAGCGAGAGAGAGAAAAAAAAATGGAAAGAAGACTGTAAGGTGAGTAAGATGCACGTTTCTTTCTTGCTTTTTTTTTTTTATGAAGCCTCGTTTCCTTCTCCATCATTCACACCGCTGAAGGTTTTGTTCCTGCCTCGTGCAGAGGTTTGATTTGCGGCGTCCTGCTCAGCGGACAGGATCGGGAACACGGCAGGTTGTCGCCCTTCCTTTTTCCCCTCTCTCCTCTCTCTCCTCACAGGGGAGCTCAGCTGCTGAGACCAGCATGGGGGTGCATTTAACCTGCCCCCCTCCCGGCCTTCCGTGCTTTCTGTCACCACGGCGGCTGTAGCATCAGTTTAGTGAGTCCCATGGTCCACACCCACATGATCCGCTGCCTTTGATTGATCTATGTGCAGTGCAGATATGAGGGGCGATTATTATTATTAATATTTAACTGCTGGATGCACCAGTGTTTACTGTGAGTCCTTTGCTCAGAGGGGACTGGTCGGCCTGTGTGCTGGACAGGGACCAACTCCTGCTGTATGTAAAATAATCCACCTCTTCTGTACATTGTGTGAAATAACTTGAATTTATCAGATTGTCATTGCATTGCAAACAGTGATTTTTTTTTTTTAGCCCAGTATATGCTGAGATGGATCATAAAATAAATGAGGAAATAAAAGACTGCTTGTGATATTCACACTGTAATAATAATAATAATAATAATACTCTCATGGGACTTCTCACACTGTCCCAAGCTTTGGCTCCTGAGGGCAACACGTTATTAAAAAAATAAGAATTTTTGGAAACCATCATGTCTCTACAGTGGGCTTTTAAGCCCTCAGAGGAAATCACATAAAAAAAAAGGAGAAATGCTGTAAAGTCTTTGGCAAATGGACTCAATTTACACAGCTCCTTTCGTACTGTATGCCATCCTGGCCAATCAAAGCACTTTACACTATAATCCATTCAAGCCAGTCACTCTTTCAAACCACATATTTATACACAGATAGGGTAAAGACAACCAAAAGCAGAAACATTTCCCACTGAGTCACAATCATTGCAGTGCAATTGTATTTAAAATAAACAATTTATCTGTTAGTTGCAGATTAAACAAATTTGCAATGCATTAATTGACAATCAATGGAGTTCAGTCATACCCTGCCTTCTAGAATGCATTTTATTTTATCCAGCTGCAGATAATAGATAATCTCCTGTATTTTGATTAATCTGAGGACGGCAAAAAGAGGACCAAGGGTGCAGACCCTCATTTAAACAATTCACTGGCCTCAGATGGATTGGTTTGTGCTGCTCCATCAAAACTTGTAAATTGCAATGTTGATAGTACAGGAAGTGATTTCTCCTCTGACTTTACCAACCTTTTAACACCTGGATGTCTTACGATTAGCTACATAAATTGAACTGTGAAGGAGCCTTTAAGATGTACAACAATCATCCAAGCATGTTCAATATAGTTACCTGGTTTTGTTTTGAAAAAAAAAGAAGCTTTATTTTGTTTGTTTTTTAAACAAGTTGCTGCACTGGATCTGGTGAAGCCTTTTACTGAAGACCCTGTTGTTATTTAACAATCTCCTGAAGAGGATGGTTACTTTTGTCCATAATGTTCTTCATCTCATGAAGAATTCATCTCCATATGTTCTATGTTACTGGAACAGAGCTGTCCTTCTTTATTTGCTTTTTGAGCTGCTTATAGCCATTTGCTCTGATGCCGTTACTTCAGCAAGTGATGGAAGAATAGATCATATCTCCACAACAGACAGTGGAAGATCTGCAGCATCTTGTTGCAAACACCATAGGACTTAAGCGTCCTTAGGAAGCACTATCTGCTCTGTCCCTTCTTGTAGAAAGCTTCACAATTGTGTCTCCAGTCCAGTTTGTTGTCCAGGTAAACACCGAAGTATTTATACTCCTCCACCTCCACTTCTTCTCCTAATTTGTTATCAGGATTTAGCTTGTTAACTTTTCTTCTAAAATCTACAATAATCTCTCTTGCTTTGTTGATATTCACGATCAGATGATTGTTTCCACACCATGCCAAAAACGGTTCACTAGCTCTTTGTACTCAGTTTCTTTGCCATGTTTCATGCAACCAAAGAATGTAGAGACATCCAGGTATTTCAGCTGGTGACAGAAATCAGTCTGGTACTGGATGTTAGAGGAGTTAAAAGGTATGGTGAGAGTACCGTCCCCTGTGGTGCTCCCGTGCTGCTAACTAATTGACTAGACAGCTAACCCTTCAATCTAACAAACTGTGGTCTATTTGTCAGGTAGTATTTGATCCAGGTGATTATTGATGCCTCCATCTGAGGCTCTGTTTGAATTCATGGGCTGCGTCCTCCGAAGGCCAGATTCAAAGGTCGATTAAGTCATACGTGGCGCTCAGGTCTGGTCGGATTCCAAGGGTCCTCGTTATGCAGCCTACAAATGCGTCCTTCTTTTGGCCCGATTTGAAGGATAGGTCCGATGTATCCAAGCTGTCCTTGGTTATCCCAAGGATAGCTTGGGATAACCAAGCCAGCTTGCTTTTGAGACCAAGCAAGCCGGCTGCTCCATTATCAGAGGAAATAGTGTCGAAGAGTGGTGAATATTGGAAGTTCAGTTTAATATAATACAAGTATGTGAATAGAGCGTATGGTGGAGAAAGCTGCAGAGAAACAGTTAGACCTGTTTGAATTCACAGCCAAAACTCTTCCGGCCTCCTTATTTTCAAGGACTTTTCAAGAGTAAGTCAGGCTAATTCTTGTTTAAAACAATGATCAGTTAATTTGCTCTGTCTAGACTTCCATCTGTCTGATCATCCTTCTGCTGGAAGCCTGTAATCTACTTCAACCCTGACAACAGATCATTCTACTGGAGCTTGCTTTCCATCTTCCTCCTGTACAGTATGCCCACTTGCTTTGTCTTATCTTGGCATTAAGTTGCTTCTGTATACTCCTCAATAATTCCCTGTCTATCTTCCATTGTTTTGAAGCTGGACAGAGTTGATAGATGCCTGGATATAGAAAAAAAACAAGCTAAAATCTGTCAGTGGCTTGGAAAAGAGAGGAAAAAAAAGCCTTTATAAATCTTTGGCATTGATTCGTATGTGATGCCCTTTATCCTGTCTGAATGAGTTTAGCATGTTTTGCAAATGAGAACAGGCAACTGATGTCCTGTCTAGATCTGCTAATATGATAAAGACATACACTCAAAAAAATTGCACCTGTAACTGCAACTCTTTCAGGGGGCTAATTACAAATGGAGAGCACACTTTACAGATTTACAGTTTATTATTATGCTCTCTCACTTATTTTAAGTTATTAAACTTTAATTAACCTGGAAAAAAAATCCCATTGAGTTGAAAAAAAAAACTCTTTTTCAAGGGAGTCCCCGTCAAGAGGCGACAAAGTTGCATAAATGCATTTACCAAAATGAATATACGGTCGTTTGTGGTTGGAACTTATAAAAGATGTGAAAAAGCTTAACATTGTTTAATTATTGCCAGACACTGTAACCTGACTACCTGTCTGTTGCCCAGTTGGATGTAAATATCATGTTGCAGACATTGTCCACTAACAAGACCTGAGTAGTTTTCACTGGAAATTGTGATTTCTGTTTCTAATGGTTGATCCCCAAGACAGAGAAAACCAGAATTAGAAGATCTGGACCACTAAATCACACATTATTTTGTTTTATCGCTGCTTGTCATCAATTGCTTCCTCTTAGAGCAGGGGTCGGCAACCCAAACTGCTCAAAGAGCCATATTGGACCAAAAAAACAAAAAATAAATCTGTCTAGAGCCGCAAAAATGTAAAAGTCTTATACATGCCCCGTATGGGCATGTATAAGACTCTGAGTGTATTATCCCACTATAGAAAATGACTATGTGGGCTTAAATATATAATAGGCATTCACGATTGAATCTTTATCCTGGAGCAAATGTCACATAGCAGCATGAGGTGGGGGACGAGCAGTGAACGCTCTCACCGCGCTGCTTCACCGCGCGCCGCTTAACTGGCCTTCACCGCACGGTTTAAGTTTTGTTGCACTGACAAAATTATAGAAACAGGATCAAGGAATCTTTCCATGGTGGACGTGTTTCTGTTGGGAGGAGTTGATTGAGTCATGAGGAACCAAGCAGGAACTGACACCCATCAGAGCAGAGCTCTCTAACCCTGAAATCCCCCATCCCAGCGTTCCTTGGTGTGATTTATAGTTAGGATTTGTGGAAAAAATGCAAGAAAGTTCCCATCTCTGCATCAGAGCTCTACCTGTTCGATCTGTGGACGGTTTTCCATCCTTGCAACAAAACTAGCAGCAGTAGTGGAGTTTGGAGATGTAATCAACTTCTTAAATCTACATTTGCTCTCCTCTAATTTATCCAGAAGTTCTGCAATCACCATTTTTCTCTCCCTCTCAGCTTGGTTGTTGGCTGCATATTTAGCTTGCCTTCCCTGGAAATGCCTTTCCAAATTTTTATTTTTATTTTTTGCCAACCTCTCATTACCGAGCAAAAATGCAGGCAATCGTTCCGCATTGGTAATGAAAGAAAATAATTCAGTCCATCCTATGAATCCTCTTTTCTCATCAGCTATCTTCCTTTTTTTCCCTTTGGGATCCATGGTCTGAGACACTCCAGCAGCCTGGCACTGGGCAGCTCTGGTTGCAAGTTATAACCACTGATCTCTATGGCTATGATGCAAATTATTGTTGAAATTTATTTATTACACAAATGTTTACAGCATTGGAAAACATAATTATTATTTTTTTTACCTCCTGCACACCATATTAAAACAAAAGAAAAAAAAAAAATCGATTTTCAGAAATTTTTGAAAAAGCTCCAGGGAGCCGCAAGGGGAACGCTAAAGAGCCGCATGCGGCTCTGGAGCCGCGGGTTGCCGACCCCTGTCTTAGAGTTTACTTTGAGGATTTTTTTGCATAGCTGCCTTTTGTGTCCCCTGACTGACTGTTCCTTGAGTGTGGCATCAGGCTGTGAGACTGTCCACCAGCCATCATGTAAAGATGAGCGATCCGGCTCCTTAGTCAGCCCTTGGTTATTCAAGATCTGAAACTATTCCCATCTTGTAAGAGGTTTTTCATGAAATATGCATCTTTCAAATAACATATTGAATATTCCCCTAATTCAAACTGGCATATTTTATTCATGTAACCAGAACTGCATGCATGTATCTTCCCCAATGCCCTCTGCCAGTC